GATGTTCATGCCAAATTAAGGAGAAACGGATGAAGTTTGGATGATATTACTTTGAAGTGAATATAAATATTTTTTCATAAAAAAGGGGGATTTTTCTCAGAAAATTGGGCATAATTTCTTAATGCTAATCGCTGAGTGACATTTTCCACAGCCAAATCAAAGATTAATTACCAGTGAATAATTCTAACATATGTCTGGATCCTATAACATTGCCTGAAAAGGTCCAGAAATTTACTGATTGATCAAAAACTTGTGCATAATTGTGTTTTTCGTGGTCAGTTTCCGTTATTTCATCTTGATGTTGTCATTTTCGGACAGCCAAGTCATCAAGGATTCAGGAAAACAGTTTGGCACAGGTTTGCTTTAAGAACTTTACATTCTATGAAGTGTTTAAAAAGTTACTGATGAATGTGATTTTTTTTCAAATATTTCGTTTACGCACCATGTTGGATTTTCCTATATGACAAAAATAAGTGTTTTAAATAGCCGTGGTGAAAGAAAGAGCAAACAACTGCTGTTGTCTTCTTATATGGAAACACGAGGGAGCACGTCATTTTTTTGACAAAATAAAAAGCCTTAATGATTTTGCTTCTTATTGCACTCCAGAATTCCACAAGGAGTAATAAAAGTTGAAGCATGTTTAATTGTTTATGTATTTGTTTTTTATTTTGTTTCAATTTTTTTTTTTCTTTTCAATGTCAAAACATGCATGCAAAACATAATCCATTACATCAAAATATTACTCATCCATTCTTTTATTAGTATACAAAAAATAAAATCTATACACACAATACAAAGAAAGTTATAACAATTTTAAAACAGTAGGTGTTTGCTTTTGGGCACACAAAAATTGCAGTGGCAGGGGGAAAACAAGTCTATAAAAAAAAATTAGCATGGTAAAGGTTAATATTAGGAATGCAAAAAGTACAAGATGTAGCAATATGATTTCTCGTACATCCTTAGAAGATAGATTCTTTTTCCTTTTTAAGGCAATTTAATGACCTGGGTTTTCAGAAATCTTGTCTCCAGCCTGCCTTTGAATTAGCAAACATAAAATTTTGTTAGTGATTTTCAGATAATCATAAGAGTAGAGTCTTTTGAAAAGCTGACCACCCAAAAGCTGAATGAGTGGTCTCTTTTTCCGGAATACAAGTGGACAGATAGGTGTGGTGGGTGCTCCAGCCAGTATCCATATAATGAGTCGGTCGGTCAAGGAAGACAGCAGTAAGTGAGGAAAGGACCAGCAGTGAACAAGTTAGCAGTCACTGAGATGGTCAGGCAGTGAGTGTAAGGGTCCTTTTTCGGCCGGAAGTTAGTAAGATAGCAATTCACCTTCTCAAAACTGAAGGAAGACATTGCCGATTAAATGAAAATCGTATTGTTTGCTATTTTCCAATCAGTGTCGTGAAAGGCATTTGTCATTATTTTTGTTGAATTTGATCACGGCCAGTGAGACAAACCTGCGAACATAGCAAGTTGGGTATATACGCATATAGCGACCTTGGATGTCATCACCACTTGTGCGGTGATGTGCAGAAAGGGCATAATCACAAATAAAAGCAGCTTTAGTTGTGAGTTCTTATTTTATTTGGATGCAGAATGGAGTGAGTGAGCAAAAGTTTGAAGAAAGGACAATAAAAAAAAAAATTGTTTTGTCTGACCCTTTTTAAAAAGCAGCAGAAGCCAAATGAAATCGTGACATGTTAGTTACTTTTTTTGCTGTTTGTGTTTATAAATTTTTGTTTAAAACCTGATGTATACTTAAAACACATGGCCTGATTATATGCTTAGCTTTTAGTTGATCATGTGTAAAATTGATGTTCTTTTAAGCAAATTACGATGACCTGTCATCAAGCCACACTGTTAAATATATTACAGTTCTAATGCTGCCCAGCTTTCTTCAAAGATAACATCTTCTCATTATTTCAGTTTGTGTTTAAAAAAAAAAAAAAAATGATCTGGACAAAATAGTGGTAGAACAGTACCCCAAATCTGCAGGGGGAGGGTATTCCAAGACAACCAACAAATATCTAAAACTGTGGATACTACTATGTTATATAAACTTAACCTCTGAAAATAACAATAACTAATAGAAAAATTATGACAGTCTATTGTAATAAAAGTCCTGTGATTGATAGAAGTTATGATCTTACCGTAGCAACCTGAATGTACTTTTCTCCCCTCCTCCCACATCACATTTCCTTATTAAATGGAGGACCTTCACTTTTTCACTTCAAAGAAACACATTACAGCTTCTCTTTGTCATGTTTGACATTGCCAATATCACTACTCTTGCTCTGTGGGACTACTATCAAGTAAAACTTATTCTTGGTTTGGCTGCAAGGAAATTGGAACTGCAGAAAAGTGGGTGGGTCTACACTTTTTTTTTTTTTTTTTTTTTTGCTATAACCTGTTTTGGTACAACTTAATTCAGAAATATTTGATGTCATGAGGTAAAGTTCAGTATTTAGTACTAAGGAGGCAATTGGTAATATTAAATGAACTTGTCAAAAATTCAGACTTCAAGCAAGACTGAAATAAGGCCCCCTGTTGATCATTCTTCTAAAATTTAATTCCATGGTGATTTTGTGTATTGACAAATCTTTCTTTTGGGCACATGAGTTTAATTTATGCAGATAGTTTTATGGAACTTATTAAAAAATAAAAAAATAATGCCATTTACCTTTTTAAAAAAAAATAAAAGTGCCTCATTGCCTTTTCCAGAATCTTTTTTTTTTTTTTTTTTTTTTTTTTTTTTTTTAATAAAATAATAATTCTGCATTAAAACATTGAATACATGTTTTATTTTATTTTTTTTACTTATTTATTTTTAAACACATTGGTTTTCTTTGTCTATGTTTATTCCACATTAATGATCCTTCTGGAATTATTTCAAAAGTAATTATGTACTTTTGAATTAAAAATCTTATCAGAAATTGATCTCTTTGAAATACAAATACAGCACTTCTCTGGCTCTGATTAAACACAGAAAATGACTTGGATGTAAGTACTTTCTGTATTTATGTGAAAAGTTGTTTTTTTATGTAGTGGGGGGATACCATTCCAGCATTACACCAAGTACTTTTGAAGTGACTTGCCTGATCCAAGGATATCATCAAAATCAAGTCTAAGTGGGTATCAGGAAATTGTGACATGGGTACTTAGTCAAAATAGGTGAAACAACATTACTATTTTAGTACCCAGACACCACTCCCAACCCTGAATATAAGCTTAGATGTTCCTTAGTCCCCAGCTGCATGATATATCCCTATTATACAGGCAGATTAGGCATGAGAATATAATCCCTGAATATTTTAGTATGGGTATATGAAAATAACAAAGACATGGTGGCAGTACCATGAAATTATTTTGGAAAAACTAGGATATTTATAACCTCTTGATTGTACCCCCCCAAAAAAAAAAAACGAAACTTGTGTATCAATTCAGTTTGCTTCTTTTTTTTTTTTCTTTTTTAATGCTAAAGTGAAATGCTACTTTGAATCTAACACACACTGAATTGCGTATTTGAGTTCATAGTTAGGAATTGATAAACTAATGTAATTTTAGATGCTAACTGTAGAGAATGTCTAAAATTAAGTCTTAGTAAATTCTCATGTTGCATTTACCAAAGTTTCTTCTGGATTGTTGCCAAACTAAGTTTTCAGTTCATATCTATAAACTTATGTCTCATCTTGAAACTTGCACCTCTTCTTTCTTTTCTCTCTCACCTAACAAGTCTTCCCATCTAGAATGGGAGGGGAACGTTGTTTAAAACAGATAAGTCAAAAATGTCATTTCCATCACTATCAGATAAATTCCAGGTAATCAGTAGATCATCAAATTTCTTGGTTAATAAATCTTTTGATATCTATCGGCAATCTTTCCTCACCATCCTTTTTTTTTTTTTTCTTTTTAGTAACATGTTTTACATATGTTTTCTTCCTTCCTCTTACACTTTTTTCTCCTTTTGAAAAACAGATTCTTTTCTATGGAATTTGTCTGTGTGCACACAATTCTTTTTCAAGACAAATAGCATTATAAATTTTGGTATCTTAATTTTTCGGGAATATATATATATATATATATATATATATAAAGTTCTGAAGAGTTTGTTTTATTTTCTGTTGGCTTATAAATCTTTTTATCATCTTCCTTTCAGAAAGCCATTATGACCATTGTTAATTTTTGCAAAAAAAAAAAATGTAAATTATATATGACTTGTGAATTTAGCATTTATTTCGCTACACTATCAGGGTCATGTATATATTTAAATTAAATATATGTGTGAAACCATATTTTCTGTATGCATGATACATATATATTTAAATTAAAATCTTAACATTTAAAAAAAATATCAAGATGGAATTAATCAAAAATTTTATATTGTAACTGATAACCTTAATGTTCTTGATAATAACTTGTCTTGATTGAAAATATTCGGGGGGGGGTTCAAATTTAGTAGATTTCTTTTATAAATTTGATTATGCAGTTGCTTACATATCTTTCAAAATCATTCCTGATCTAGTTTTTCAACTTGTATGCACTCTTATCAATTAGTAAAGTACCTACTTTTGTAGTTCAAATTGTCAGATTTACCTATCCTATAGACTTGGACACAAAACTTATTTTCTCAATTTGTACACTTACTATTAAATAATTTATGGTCCCTATACTGCTTAAGACACTCCATTTCCATAATTCTTATTTTTTTCTTTTTTTATTTATTAATGGGCTTGCTCATTTCTTTTTGCATTAAGAAATATTCAAAATTCTTTCTTATTGAATAATGTAAAATATTTTGTACAGTAACTTCAAGAAGAATAGATCTTTTATTTACTTATTTATTCCTCTCAACAACCTTAATGTATGAATTCACTTATCCTGAACCTTAAGGACAATCTATTTCAGTTAAATGCTGGAAGTTTATAACTGTACATCACTTGGTATAGATTTTTATTCTTTATAAGTTTTAACTTTAATTTTGTCATTGATCTTTTCAGATGGCGGTTTTCTCTTGGGTGCATCCAGTTTGACAGGACGGTATTGGTATGGCTCTTTGTGGTACTATGACGAACCAACAAGTTCCCTTGATGTTGAAAAATGTACAGCAGGAGTGCAGTTAGAGGCTGGCATTGGAGATGCTTTGTGGATTGACAGAGATAAAGTGTTAATTGGCTTGGATACAGGTCAGTAGTAAAGATTCTTTGGCTTGTCACAAAAGCTTGATGATCCTGAGATGTATAAGTTCCATATATTGCCAGTCAATGTTATATTTCCTTCAAGGGATGTTTATAAAGATATTTGCTTTGCCAGGCATACATGACAAGAATATGATTTCCTTTCTAAACATTTTTTTTTTTTTTTTTTTATTTTATTAAATCTCAGAAGCTGCCTATTATATATTGGTATTTTTTTTCTTTTTTTCTTCACTGGAAAATATACTACTTAAAACTATTAGTGTTTGTGTGTTTATTTATTAATAATCCTAGTTTCTAACAGAATGAGCCATTTTGATATTAATCTGTTCAAAGGACATGCTTCCAAGAAAAGTGCTATCTAATGTTGAATATTTCTTTATTAAAAAACATGTTTTTCAATTATCTTTTTGGGGAAATGAAAAGTTTTGGCAGTGAAAGTATTGTTAGCCAATGATTTAGTTTTTTTTTTTTTTTTTTTTTTTTTTTTTTTAGTTCTACAGAAAATGAAGAGGAAAAAGAATAAAGAACTGATTTAAAAAATTTATATCTTTGTTCTCTGGTCATGGCAAGAACTTTTGATTACTTCAAGCATGACTTCAGTTCACAGCATCTCTTTCACAAACATGTATTCCTAATTCTACTCCTGTTTGCACTTTGCTTTGACCTATGCTTCTAGAATAAGGTTTTCCTCAGTGCAATTTTGCTTAAGGCTTATGCAAAGCTTTGCTGGACTCCTTTATTTATACACTGCCAAGTAAGAAGTGGTAAGAAATTTTTTTTTTTTTTTTTTTTTTTTTTTTTTTAAGTGGGGAAAGATGCCCTGATCCTTTTAGGTTCACTTCTTATTTAGTCTTGGACTTTAAAGTCAAGGTTTTGTATTTCTGGTCTGTATTTAAAATGTATAGAAAGCCCAATGGCAAAGTTACTCATTCATTTTCTGGTTCCATACTTGCCATTCTTGGCTGATGCCTTGGTCTCCTGTTTTCTGTTGACATGATTATATTGAATCAATTGCTAAGTTTGCTGCTAGGAAAATCGGTTCACTATGCCATGCTACACAATTATTCTCATCAGAATCTATTTTCAAAGTCTATCATTCATCTGTACCTCAAATATTGCTGCCACATCCAGTCTGGTGGTTCTGCTATGTGTTTAGAGGTTCTTGACAAAATCCAAAGAATCTAATATTATTGGTGCTGACTTAGTATCTTAGCTTCAGTCACTTTTGTCTTGCCTATAAATATTTTCATGGTAAATGTCCTGATGAGCTTTCCTCTTTGATACCTGAACTTCACAAATTTAAGCACAGTACTAGATTGGCAGTTAGGTCTCATAATTTCACTGTTGAAATTGTTAGTTGTAACCCTAAGTTTTAGCCTGATATTTTCTTGTCTGCACTTCTTGCTTGTGGTACTCTCTTCTGACTGTTTTCCTGTCAACTATGATCTTGAAAATTTTAAATTCAATGTCAATTGTCACTTTCTGTCCTTTTAAATTCTGTTTATTTCACCCTCAGTATCTCCTTACACCCTAGTGGCTTCTATTGCCTTCCTTGGGGTGAAATGAAATCTCCTGCTAGCCAGGATTATACTCATGTAGGTAACAAGGGAAACATTACATAGAACATGATGATGACATTAGAGTATATGCAAAAAAACTCCAATACTGTATCTTTTGGTAGTAAAGACAGTTTGTTTTCTATTTTGAAGTGTTGATTTTTTTTCTTTGTTTCTTGGGTAAATCAAATGCCTCAAGGTATTATTATGATGGTTAGTAGTAGTGGTAATATAAAAATGTTCTAGTTTTACAACATTATTTCTTTGAAAGTTGGGATATTTTCTTTTTGTGAGTGCCTTGTGGATAATACAGTGTTGTTAGTTTCTGAACAATTTTTAAAAAATGAATTTAAATTGTTTAAAGTTTGTTTTTCTTGATTCTCATTTAACATTGTATGTAATTGAAAATAGAGAAACAAATATATTTATTTTAGTCTTCCCTTAATTTTTTTTAGCTTGATTTTCCAAACACAACTTTTCTTCTTTTTTTTTTTTTTAACCCCCCCCCCCCGCCTCACAGAAAAAATGTCAGTGAATTTGTCTTTCAAAATGTACTGAAATTTTTAAGTTCCTTTTATGTTATAAATGTTAGATATAAATAAATAAAAATAGCTGTAGCAGCTGAAATGGTTGGTAGCCTCTCACCCCCAATTACCTTGTTGCCTTTTCTTGTCTACTCAGTTAACACTGAAAGTCTTTGTGGAATGCAATCTTTCATTTAACCTTTTCCAGTATTCTTACCCTACAAATCTTGTTGTCTTTTTCACCTCTGGAATTGTTTTCTCTCTTTCTCTCAAAAAGGGCAGTCTTATTTGCTATATAACCTTTTATCTGTGTGAAATGATGCTTTCATTGTATGACCTGCATAGATATCAATGTACCACCAGATTATATTGTCTATTGCTTTTGTTTCAGTGTAATTAGTTTGTCAGCAGTTTTATAAGAGATAAAATAAAAACTTGTTCAAAGCAAAAGAAACGGTTTAATTTCATATGACCCTTTTTTTTTTTTTTTTTACACACAGTTGCATATCAGTTACTGTGGTGATTAGGTATTTCATTGTTATGGTAACACTTGGTTCAATGCTGCACAAAGTAACCAGTCCTTGTGTTACACTAACAACAGAATCTTATTACTATATAGTGCAATTGGGTTATTAATACATTGGCTTTTTATATGTTAACTTTCTTTGACTATTTTTGATTTCAACGTTTCAGAAAACAATATTTTGTTGTGGTTATTTCTTGCCTGCAACAAGTTGTAGTAAAGGGAGGCAAATTTGAATTTCTTACTGCTGGGCATATTGCAGTAGAACTGATAGCTGCATAATCATCTTCATATATAAAATTCAATGTGTATGTGTTCATGTACTTTTTATGTCATAAATACTCATCAATATTTTGTTTAGTTGAATATTCAAAAGTTTGATATTTTATTACTAAATTCATTTGTAAAATTGCTTAAATGCTGAATTTTTTATTTTTTTGTTAATACAAAGTTAGTAATGTTAATACAAATAAACTGTGTGCTGAAAAAAAACAAAAAAACTATATGATGCTCTTAAAACTGTTTTCTTGCATGCCTGTAATTTTGTAGGAATGTAAGAACTAAGGTGGTTACTGCCTCATTTTCCGGATCACTCACCTTTCTAGATTGAATGATTTTTTGTTTTAAATTCTCTGGTAATAAGTGAATTTCTCAAACAGTTGATTTATCATGACTGTATAAAAGTAAACTGGAACAATATATATATATATATATATATAAGAACAGTAAGATATATAATCCGGTGTTCTTATAGATATTTTTATTTTTACAAAATAGTGCTCAATGTAAATTTACAGAGCATTAATATTAACAGTGAAAATATTTTAAAGTTGTATTTAAAATTGTAGTTAAATAAAACGTATTCTAACCTAAACACCTCTTTCAAAGTACTACAAGCACTTAAAAGAATCCAATAAAACACCTCCAGTAAAATAAAATTAATATGAAAAGCTAGAAGATGTAAGCCATTGAATGACCCATGTCCTTTGTACTTACATGAGAAACTATATATTACTGGATTTACATAAAATATATAAAAAATAAAAGTTTACTAAATCAGAAATTAATTAGCTATTTTTGCTGTCATTGTCATTAATTTTACTTAAATAATAGTTAAATATAAATTTAAAAAAAATTGTAACCTAGTAATATACATACTTATACTTGATGTGAAAATAATTTTACATACGGTAAGTGATTCTAATAAATTTACTTGTTTTAAAAAGAAATATAGTGTATTAAAAATTAAAAGTGAAAATTTTTTTTTAAAATTGTAGTTAAATAAAATGTATTCTAACCTAAACACCCCAAAATCTTTAGGTATACAAATAGAAAAAAATGCCGTTAACAATAAATTAAAAAAAAAATCCAGATGACATGCATTTAACGGATGTCAGAATTCATTGAAAAATACATCCCTACCCCTACCAAAATGTAACTAATAACTGATACAACAAAATTCAGCGATAATGAACTGGCAAACACCCCTTGTCTGGATGAATAGATTTCTCTGTATCCTTGGAAACGTGAATTATGATTATTTGCTGTGCCTTTAAAATCCAGTAATAAGTTACTCCAAAATTTGCTTGAGGATGAAATGGAACTAATGTCTTTTTAATTTAATTACAAAATTAAATTCAAAGCTTTTAGCTACCATTTTTGAAACATGGTTAGAACTGTGTAGCGAAAAAAAACATTTTAAATCAATTAATTTATAATATATATATTATGCTTTATGAATAATATCAAGAAAAGATAATTTGATAAGAAGCTTAAGCTAAACTTAGTTAAATGCATCTTGTTCTTGGCAGAAGTTATTGCTTGGTTACTCTAAAAAGTACAATTTTCTTTTTGGCGGAGTTTAGTAAATATGTCAAATTTTTTAAGTAGAAGTTCAAAAGGAACTTAAATTAGCCAAGTCAATTTTCATTAACTAATTTTAAACAAATAGAAAATAGTTACATTATTTTCAGTTGTTATTATTAATAATTGAATTCAAATTGTTTTTCTTTAATGGCATATCAATCTCTTATGTCAAAATCTAGATATTTTGTGCACTTCTTTTTTTTTTTTTTTTTTTTAAACTTTTATTAATATAATAATGGTCTTAGGGATATTAGTTTTCCTAATTAATCCATACCTTTCCCAGGGGTATTTGCATATAAGTGAATATAAAGAATCCAGCTGGAATTGAAACTCTGCTCTCTGATTAACAATTCCAAGCCATCATCCATTATACCACCTGCATATCCAAGCTTACAGCAACTGCTCTTCCCAAAGCAGTCACCCATCTAAGTACTGACCAAGCTTGATGTCTGTTAACTTCGGTGATCAATATGTCACTAAGAAAAAATTCTTAGTTAACAATAACAGAGTGAAGGCCTATTAATGTTTTTTGCTGTTTACTTTTAGTGATTCTAATTAATAAAGTATATAAACTTTAGTTCACAAATTTTAAGAATATTTTTTGTTTCCTATTTAGGAGGGTTGGCGGTCTGGCAGCTTGTAGACAACTATAAGACTTTTGTGCAAGTGTGTGCTGCTGGAGAACATGATAATGTGGTCAATACCGTTAGTATTTCTGCAGACAACAAGAAAGCACTCTCTGCCAGTCATGATAGATGGTAAGTATTTAACATCCTCTATTCTTACTTTTTTGACAATGTCACAAGGTTGGCTGATTTCTTAGCTGTTGTGTAAACGACTCAGATGTTGGATGTTTGTGAGTTTTTTTTTTTTTTTTTTTTTTTTAAACTCTCAAACATTAAATATGCCATTAAGGTATTGTGGATTTTGGAAGTACAAGATTAAATGACTAATTTTTAGTCAGAATGACTTAATTTCACCTGGAACTTTTAACTTCAACATTCTCATTTATCATAAGACTTTTGCATATGTACGCTTGCAAAAGTTTTATGCATTATCTGTCATATTTTTGCAAATAAATAAATAAAAAAAAATAAAAGACCTCAGTAAGAGCTATTTATGCAAATCTAATGCAAAAATGTAATTTTTGTTTCAAAATTATTAGGATTAGTTAGGAAAAACAAAACAAAAAAAAAAACAAAAGTTCTTTAGGGGATTTTATTAGTGTTTAGTTTAAAAAAATGCCTGTTGCAATTTCTGGTTTGAAGTTTTTAAAATGCCCAAAAAATAATCTTTCAAGTACTACTTGAAGATTTTTTTTTTTTGTTTACATAGTCTACAAACACTAAATACAAGGTGACAATTTGATATCATACAATTCTGGAAGCACAAGATTAATAAATTTCAATGGAGATATATATATATATATATATATATATATATATATATATCTATATATATATATATCTGTGTGTGTGTGTGTAATGCAGCAGCAAAAACTATTGAGCTAATTGATAAACAGGTATGACCATTTTGTAGATATTAACAACTTAATCTGGCACAAGGCTATGTAGAAAAATTGATGCTGAATTGCAAGGTTGTCAGCAGCAATAAAGCAATGATCTCAATTATTTAGTAGGTTTCAGCATGCGTACACACAGAGAGCGGGATCCCTCGATTAGTGTGGCTAATGTGTACATTAAGATATACATTGATCAAACAGTAACTTATAAGAAATGCTGTAATTTGTATCACAAATTTTACTCTCCTTCACAGTTAATTTCTAATTTGCAGACTTTATAATTAAAATATAGGTACATATAAAAAGACACAATAAAAGTGCTATTAATGTTTGTTAATCTAAATTTTTTTTTTTTTTTTTTAAATAAAAAAAACTTATTTAAAGGGTATCTGTCTATATTTCTGAGATGAGGTATTATGTACACTATTTACATTATTCAGACTATTGTCTTCATCTTTGTCGCCATATTTATTACATCACCTTCTTTATATGGTTGGAATGTTGAACTGAACCCTTTATTTCACTCACTGGAGTAGACTGTTCTAGTTCCATGTGCCATGTTTAATGGATATCAGTTATCTCCTGTTAATTCCCCTCTCCAAGTTCTCCACTGCCTTAGCTGGGTATTGGGTCCTGTCACTGGATCTAACTAACACCTTTATCCACTGTGCCATGTGTCCTTATTTAGAGGGGTTTGCCACATGGTATTCTGTTCTTCATATAAATGGTGGTACTGACAAATTGCCTCTTCAATTTTTCTGCAAATTTGTCGGCTTCTTTCTTCATCACTGTCTGCTTCTAAACATTTTCTTTTAAATTCTTCAATGTCCCTGAAAAATTCTAATTCCTTCTTTGTCATCTTATCCTGGTGGGTAGGTAAATATTAAAAGCTAAAACAAACAAAACAAAAAAAAAATTCAATTCTATTTTTTAAAAAAGACTCTTATCTATATTTTCTACTTTCGTAAATTTTCAAAACTTATAATCATTAGTAAAATTTTTATTTATAATCTTTCCATGGTAAATGCATACATCTTTTATATTTCAATATTTTTTAACAGATGTAGATTTCTGTAATTAAATTGTCCATTTATATAATATATATATATATATATATATATATAACACAAAAATCAAATTCTTTTAAGATCTTCAAAATAAGCATGAAAAAAAAATTGAAATATTACAAAATTTTAATATGCAGGTATTCAAATATGTATTTTATCAGCTTATATAGGTAGCTCAACGAGATTGCTAAAAAAAAAAATAAGCATGATGAAAAAGATGCCAAACTTGACGAATTTTGTCTAAATGTTTAAGAAATCAGATCAAAGTATTTTTTTTTTTTTAATTGTTCCTAGCACGTCTGAAATTTTTGTTAAAAAAATTTTTTTTTTTTTTTTGTGTGTGTGTCAACAAAATTGACAGATGGCAATCATTTTTTTTCCATTTTATAAAAAATATGAAAATCTAAGTTTGAAATTCTTTTAAATATCAATTCTCCTTTTTTCAAAGCTTATTTTAAGAAAATTGGAAATTATAATGTTATTTAAATTATTTTGAACCAAGCTTAACTTAGCTTCTGTGCCGAAAGGATGTAATTTGAAAATAAAACAAAGCAGGTCATAAACTTTCGCATTACTTGACAGGCGATAAATGGCATATTGGCAGATTCCGTGAGGATAATCTGTTCTACGGGAGGAGAAAAGTGAAATTATTTACATTTAAGTGAACAAATTATTTCCTTCGTTATTTTTAAGGAAAACTTTCAGCATTCTAATTTTTTTTGTTTTTTGTACTTACCTTTCACTTTTACGTTTATAATATATTTTCCATAAAGCATTGTAAAGAAATTAAAATAAGACTGTTAAGAGTTAGATTAAATTTCATAAGAATATTCATAAGATAATTTATAGGTACCTTTCTTATGAAATTTTATCAGAAGTTTACATAAAATACTATAATTTTATGTACATTTACTACATTTTACTGTGTTATTTGTATTTCCATTCATTTTATTATTAATTTTGATATTTCATTTATGGAAAAATGTCATAACCGAGATTAATATAAAAATAAGATCATATAAATTTCATAAGATGATACTGATACTTGTAGGTACCCTTCTCAGTTGAAATTGAAAAATCAAATAAACTTCTCCACACGTGTTTTGCAAAAGTAAAGGCCTTAACAGCGGAGAACAATGCTTAACTCAAATAATGCAGCTTAATTGTATTCTGGTTGGTCTTCCGTACTTTATAATTAGAGCCTGATTATAAACACAAAATTACATTTCTTAATTACTCAAAACTCAAAATTAGTCAAAACTATACAATTTACAACGCGCTAAAAAAAAGATCTATCTCAAAAGGACACTCAGGAAACCCAATGCGGCTTTTAACTAATTTTATAATATTTTAACAACTTAAATGTAAAAATCTATTATAATTTAAAAAAATAAATAATTGTATTAAAAATTCATTTTTCATCGAAAAATTATTTTGCTTTCAGAAAATATTGTCCATATTCATAAAAAACAACTAAAAGCAAATAAAAGCGTTTGAAATTAAATAATATCTTTGTTTTATCGAGTTTTGTATGTTACAATTCAGAGCTGATTTTGAATTAAAAACAAAAAAAGAACATAATTTGCATTCCTCAAAGCCTTGTGTTTTTAACTATTGTAATTACTAAAATGGACTCAATCGAATTTCTAGAGTTTTCATAAAATTAGTTATGGGCCGGGTAATATAAAAAAAAATATTTCTGCCATGACTTTAATAAAAAAAAAAACATATTTATAATAATTTCAATCATCTGTGAATAGTTTCTGAAAGTTTCATTAACATCTGACAATTATTTTTATTTTGGCAAGATTTTCCAAATTAATGTATCATAAAAAAAAAAATGTGCTAAAAATTGTCTGTTATTTTACTAGTTCTGGTGATACAAAGAGAAACAAGGATTTTTAAATGAAAATTCAGATTGTTCTAAAAAGAAGGAAAAATTTTAAAGAATTAAAAAACTTTGATATTTTCTCTTAATAATAACATTAAATATTTAGACGATAAAATTTTGTTTTCGTCAAGTTTGGTGTCTTTTTTCATCATACTATGCGCTTTTTTTAGCAATCTCATGGAGGTACCTAAGCTTATATTATAAAATTGATCTATTTATGACTATTTATTTATTTTTTTTATAAACACTTATTATGTAGATGATACTTGACAAACAAAAGTTATCTCTATCTATAAAAGGCAGGATGTGTGTGTGTGTGTGTGTGTGTAACGAATGAATGGCTGCAATTTTCGACGGATTTGCACCAAAATTTACATGCACATGCTCCAAGTTAGCCGGGAAGGCCAAGACCGACATTGCATTTCCCAACTCCCCATCGATAGTGGAAATAATTGATTTTTTCATGATTCTACGGCAGTTTTCATGTAGTTTTCGCGACCATTTGTATTGGCCAGAGTGAGAACCTATAGCTGGCTGCCATGAATAGGCAGGAAGATTCTATTGGCCAGCGTGAGAGCCAACAGCTGACTGACACGAATGTTAACTAGCATGCAAAAAAAAATAAATCGATAGCTGCATTAGAACAAGTGGGGAAAATTTAAATCTGCATACCACTTTACTCCAATTGGCTCATTCGCTTCCTTAAACTCAACGTTGATTCTGATTCTGCAGAACTGGGCTTGGTGTGAAAAAGTATTTGTTGTTAACGTTCTTTTTCATTCGTTTTTTTCCAGTTACGAGTCCTTTTTTTAAAGCTGATCGTTTTGTGTTTTTTTTTTTTTTTTTTTTTTTTCGTAACAGATTTAATGTTTAGTATAGAGCTTACAAAAAATTTGCAGTGTGAGATAGGCAAGAAGTAATGCATGTTGCAACATCAGCACGCCAAAGGGCACTCCTTTAAAGGCAAGGAAGGGCAAAAATATTTTAAGTCAAGTGATAGCGATTGCTGTATGAGTTGTATGATTTTTGAATCAAGCATGGGAAATGACAGGCCATGCTGCTAGTCCATTGTTAAATTTAAAAAATTTTTTCATTGGTAACTATGAAAAAGTCAATTTTCAATTACTATGGTTAACTGAAGAATGTTCTACCACACTAATCGAGTATTATGTATGCATTAATTGAATTTTGTTATAAAAAATTTTGAGACACTAATAAAAAATGTGTTAATTGAAGGATACCATTTGGTTGGATGGATTTTTTAGTCTTGAGTGGGGAAAGAGGATTGAAAATTTTCTACTCTTTCATATGAGAATGGCTTGTCTGTTTTGAAAATTAGCCTGATATTCTGTTTTTTTATCTGGGTCCCAACACTGACCAGAAGCACTGTTGGGAAATGTATAATTCTTTTTCACACAAGTACTTTTTTATATATTGTGTATTTACAAATTTGAATTGTCAATTTTGTGAATTTTTTTATACTTCTGCTATAGTCATCTGCCACCAAAAAAATAAGGACCTTTTTATTTTAGATTTTAAAATCTTTAAGAATTTTGTGCTTGTATAATATATAATGGGTGGGGACTGAAAAGTTCCCTGTGAAAACTAAGGAGCCTTTCCAAAGGTTAGATTTAAGGAAATGGGTTGTTCTGTGGTCTTTTTTTAACATACTCCCGCCCACCTTCATATTCTTTTGTTGTCTCAGAACAAAACTCCTAATTTTCCAATGCTTTTGGAGTAATTAAATCTTTACAAGACTGACTGCCAAAGATAAAGTTATTTTGAACTTTTGTTTTCCTCTTGGTGAGCATGTGCTGATAAGCTGTTACTTGAAATGGAATCTCAATTGTCTTGTTTTGTTTTTTCTTTTTTTATCACCTCTTCTGCCAATGAGTCATAAATCTGCTAATTCAATGGTTTAAGTAATAAGAACTTGTAACTTAAAAGATATTTGGGTTTTCTATTTTAAGATCTTTGATAGTTGATCTGCTATGAAGAGTTAATCTTACATGCTATGTTCGTGTGTGTGTGTGTGTATACACACACACACACACACACACACACACACTTTTTATCTTATCTGGTGATGGGCATGAAAATTATTTCTGACTTAAAACCCAGGCAACAATTTCTTGTACTCCAACTTCTTTTTAAAGTACTGACAAATATTTTTTCTTCGCCTTTTAATGACTTGCCGGGGTTAGTCTATTTGTCTGGTCAGTTCTGCAAAGAAAATTGTTGAATGACCTGAGATGCCTTTTTTTCTCTCCCCTACCCTTTAAACATAGCAATTGCACTCCCTCTCTGCTTTTTAATACAGTCCAGGAATAGGTGGAGCAATTATAATTCTGACATGGTTTCTTATTGTCACAATTAATAAAGACTTGAATTTTTTAAGTGGAAGAACTTGAAATTGTGAAAGAAATTTCTAGTAGGAATTGAAAGTTGGGAAAATTTCCATTTTGTTCATTTATTTTCTACAATTTGTATTAACAAAGGAAATGTTGTACTTGTGATGATATGAGATTTCATTTCAAAATTTATTCTCATCTTTTCAAAGATTGTAGCTTGATCATAACATGTATTTCTGGTTACAACCAGGAAATGGTCATTACTCTTCATATATAAATATTTACAGAGTTTGTTTGGCTCAAAGCCACAATATTTGGATATCTGTTTAGCAAAGACCATCCTTCTATGAACCTTCTGGGCTTGACTCTATGGATCTCACATGTAGCTTGGGAAATAATACCATAATCAAGAAGCTGATGTTTCACACTACAAATAAATAAAAAATTAGGAAGGAAAGCCCCTTTCAATACTGGAAATGAGCAATAACAGTTACTAGAGCTTTTTTTTTTTTTTTTTTTTTTTTTTAATTGTTTTAATAGAATGATTTTATAAATTTCAACTGACAATAGTACTGGATGCTCTGTCAATGAATGCCAAATGTTTCCTTATAAAGAAACTTCTTAATATTACCATTAAGCTTGGACTTGCATGCAAGATGAGTTTGTTTATCCACCCTCTATGGCAAAAACTGTTCAAAGTTTGTGCAATCTCTTTACTTGATAGGTGCATTGCTGATTTGAGCAATTTGTCCCTGTATAAATTTTAAAAAGTTTTTAAGGTTCATTACTTTTGAAAAGGTAGCATGTGAAATTACTCTAATATTTATTAATCATGAGTTTTGGGTTTTTTTAAATTTTTATTCTCTGACTTATTTCTTACATTCCTGCTTACTATTACAACGTATGAAAGATGAGAAAATTTGTGATCATGTCTGGCATCTTAGATTTTTTCAAGTACTTAATAAGTGAAGACAGTAAAAATAAATTTCTTTTGAATTAAACTAAATCTTTTAATAAGTCTTGAAGTCTTGAGATCAAATTTAATGCCTCAATCCTCTAAGAAATCATTGGTAAACTGTTTAATAGATTTTACAAATGTCAGATATTTTTATCCTCTCTCTCTCTCTCTCTCTCTTTAACTTGAAATCAGTAATCATTCATTTGGTATTGACCAAGATGAATGTTGCTTAACTTAACAGATTTGTATGCATGGAGCAATGTTTGAAAATAGAATTAAAACTTTTTCTTTTTCTTTGCTTTTCAGTTTAAAAATTTGGGATCTGGAAACTCTTAATTCAACAGCAACATATCGAGGTAAGTAAAATAATTTGTATGTTACTACAAAAGCTTTGAACTTTGTTAAAATGAGCTTTGATTGTTGAATAAAGTTTCTCCTTCTCATTTAATGTCTTAAAACTAATAAAGTAGATGTCGTTGAGAATTAATGGCAAATTCTTATTTGATTCTGAAATGTGAAATTGTTTTCTCTCTGAGAGAAAAAAAAAAATATTCAGGATGGTTATTTGTATTTTTTAATTTTTTTTTTCCTTCTGTTAACAGTCCTCCTCTCAAACAAGTGTTCATTTAAATCTTAATTACTCTATTCAAGTTTGTTTATATATGCTAGAATAATTCCTATTAAAAATTATGAATGGATTTTCTATTCTATGATCAATGTAATACCTGTGCACTCTGTTAAAAATGTTTTACACACATGTACAAACTTATTCATTTCCACATGATGACAGAATAGAGAAAACCAAAGGACAGGAGGAGGAGGGAGGTAAGGGGAGTAAAGAAATGAAAGTAGAAAATCAGAAATGACTGATTTTTTTTTTTAAAAAAAGCCAGTTTTGCTGTCTTCAGTTTTAGCCTTTTTAATCTTTTAAAGTGGGCGAAACTTTTATATAGAAAGATAGGTGGATAACTATGGTCTTAAGTGAAAACAACAAATTCCATAAAATGTCTTGATAATCAACATATAATTATTTACATTGGCATTTTGCACAAGAAATTAAAATATGTTTATTTCATATAACTTTTTCATATAACAATTCCTCTGATTGTCTTTACATAGTTTATTACTCTTATTAAAATGTTGGAATTTGTAAGAAAATAAATGTTTCTAAAAGATGCACTTGATATTCTTATGATTCTGTTTATCTTTCTATTGCTGTATTAAAGAGTCATGTAATCAGAAGTGTTGAGCACCCGATTTGGAATAGAGAAATGTGACTGCATGTCTTTTGATCACCTTTTAATGATCAGATCTGTTAAATGTTACTAACAGATTGGGAGGGTGCTTGGTATTTAAAACAACAAAAACATTGATCTACACAATCTTCATTTTGGTTTATATTTTAACAAAATATGATTCTCCTTGCCTTATTAAAATTTGCTACTGGTCTCTTTAATTTTGTCCATGTGCCGGGGAGGGTGGGTTGACTAATGCTTTCGCTAGTACATTTTCCAATTCTCATTGACAGATTTCATTGGCAAATTTTCTAGCAATTTCAGAAAAAGTTGGTTTAAAACCTTTAAATCCACCATAGAATGTGAGGATGATGCAAATGTTATGAACTGGTTTTAAAACAAATCAAAATATTTTCTTGAATTTCCTTTTTATATATATATATATATATATATATAATCTTTACTAATGCTTGACTGTTGATCTCATGAATTAGTCTGAAAGACACATTGGTTATATCCATACATTGTTTCTTCCAACTTGGATGGAACAGATTTGAATTTTGGGATCAGGAACATGATAGGAAAGTGATTTTTCTTTAGATAATCTTTTAGTCATGGAGGGAAAAGTTAGCACACCTCATGGGAACTTATCTTTTTTTAACATATTTAAACATATGGATAAGTGAACTTCATTTTAACATTTGTGTTGCTATGGACGATAGTGATAATTATTTTGTCCTTTTCTTAAAATAAAATCTTACGACAGATACAATGAAAAGAAATATGTGCAAACCAAGAAACAAAAGATACCCCCCTTCAACCTTTTTACAATATTCATGGCATTCATTCCAGTCTCTCTAGTGTAGAATATTTTCTCTTGAAATATTCTCCAGATATCTTCACAAAGCTAATTTAAATTCTTCTATTACTATCAATAAATTCTGTTCTAGTCTACCTTCCTTTTTGTTGAAAAGATTCTAGGATACAAATGCATGGCCTTGGTGTTTATATCCAGGAAAATCTCCCATTTTAAGGGAATTGTTTCTTTAATCTCCAGATAATACTTTCATCTGTTTTCTTTTGCTTTGTTTTTTTGTTATTGCACTCTGTTAGTTATCTCTTTTTCCTTTATTACTCTTTTTCTCATGACTGTAATATATTAAACAATTTCTGATAATGTCTCTCCTCCTGTCACTCTCTCCCTCCTGATGATTTTAGTGCTCATCACATAAAGTGGTTTAATAATACTGATGTTACTGATATAGGTTTTCAAGCTTTCAGTTTTTCTGTTGCTCACTATCAAATAGTAAAATTGTAGATTTTCATTTCACTGATTAATCTGATCAATATTTTTATTTTTTTTATTTTTGTTACTTGATTTGTTCATTACCCTGTCTCCTAATTCTTTTCAACCATTACAACTCTGTTGTCTTGGCAATTCTGTTTAAGCTGTAGTATTTGATATTTCTATTTGAGTCATCTATTTAAAAGGAACTGCCTATTCACAAAACTTCTATTACCAGTGTACTGATTAGGATTCATTTTTCACTTTTCTTTAAGGTGTCTTTGGATTGATATTCTTAATCTTCCTATTGGGAATTGTTCCACAGTAGTTTCTTCTTGGGTTAAAGCCTTGATGCTTCTTTTACCTTTTTTGGAAATACCAGCTGAAACTACAATCTTCCTGGTTCACAATGGCCTGTTCAGTCATTATAGCCCTTATGAATCACTTTTCCCAACTGTAACAGCATGATAGTTCCAAACACAACAGACGCCTCTTTGTGTCTTCCCAAAGTCTTTGTTTGCTTATAGAATGAGGCACCATATAGCCTCTAACAAGTTTGGTTTTCATGACTACTGGTTGCTCTGTAGTAGTGTGTTAAATTAGAATAAGCCTTCTGTTCCTCCTCTTCACTCTGTTAACATCTACTGCTGATAAAGCAGAATGTTTTGCTTGGAGTATCTTTGCATGACTTTCTACTTAGAACTGAATTGAATGATATGCATATAATTCCGTCCATGGTTTCTGCTATCCTCTCTAAACTGGATCCTCACAAAGCATGTGGACTTAATGGTATCTCTGTAATACTCTTGAACTGGTTCCTGTTCTCCTTAAACTCTGCAATAAATGACTTGCTGCTATTTGCTTTTCTTCGTTCTGGAAATCCTCTTCTGTAGTTTCAGTCTTTAAGAACTCTCGCAAACTATCTGATCTTTCTAACTATATTAGCCTCTTACCTCTTTTCAGCAAAGTACTAGAGGCTTTAATTAACTCTGAATTAGTTAAACATCTCACCTTACAGGATCTTTTTTCAGATAAACAATATGACTTTCACTTCTCTAGGTCAACTGCTGGTGTATTAATGATTATTGCTGAAATAGTTCTATTAAGCTTTAGATAAGATGGTGTTACTTTGGATATCTCAAAGGCATTTGACAGGATTTGGCATACTGGTATTCTTCACAAGTTGAAAGATTATGGTATTTCTGGACAAATCTTTGAACTGATTCAGTTTTGTGAAATGAGAGTTGTCTTGCATGGCCAATCTTCTAGATTTTTTTTTTTTTTTTTTTTTTTTTTTTGCACATTACTGGTTTGTTAATTTTAATGCCTCCAAAATGAACTGCATTTTTTTTATTTAATCATTAGGATGATCCCTTTTCTGCTTCCATCAGCATGACTGATGCTAACCTGCAGAAGTCTCTCATTGCACCTTTTTGGCTAACATGACATGGAAAGATTATATTTAATCAATTGCTAGGTTGGCTGCTAGGAAAGTTGGATCACTGTCACTTGCCAGAATATATCTTACATATTTATAAATCTACCATTCTTCTTTGATTTGAATATTGCTGCTATATCTGGTCTGGTGCTTCTGCTAAATATTTTTAAAATCTTGATAAAATCAAAGGTATCTGCAATGTTAATGGTCCTGACTCGTCATCTCTGCTTCAGTCACTTTCCCACTGCCATAATGTAACTTCCCTGTGACTTTTCAATAAATACTTTCATGTTAGTTGTTCTGATGAGTTCTTTGGTACCTAGAGTTTATGAATTTAAGTGCAGTACTACATTGGTGGCAAAGTCTTGTCATTTTACAGTTGAAATGGCTAGATGTAACTGTAGGTTTTATGCTAACAGTTTCTTCTCTCACGCTCCTTGCTTGTGGATCTCTCTACCATCTTCTTGTTTCCCAGTCAACTTGGATCTTCACAAATTTAACTGCATCTTCAATCATTATCTTCTGTCTTCTTTTGTTGTCTCTCCTTAATATTTTTTTTCGTCATATTCTCATTTTTTTTTTTTTTAAATTGTTTTAATAGAATGATTTTATAAATTTCAACTGACAATAGTACTGGATGCTCTGTCAATGAATGCCAAATGTTTCCTTATAAAGAAACTTCTAATATTACCATTAAGCTTGGACTTGCATGCAAGATGAGTTTGTTTATCCACCCTCTATGGCAAAAACTGTTCAAAGTTTGTGCAATCTCTTTACTTGATAGGTGCATTGCTGATTTGAGCAATTTGTCCCTGTATAAATTTTAAAACGTTTTTAAGGTTCATTACTTTTGAAAAGGTAGCATGTGAAATTACTCTAATATTTATTAATCATGAGTTTTGGGTTTTTTTAAATTTTTATTCTCCGACATTCCTGCTTACTATTACAACAAATGAAAGATGAGAAAATTTGTGATCATGCCTGGCATCTTAGATTTTTTCAAGTACTTAATAAGTGAAGACAATAAAAGTAAATTTCTTCATTTTCTTCAGCAACACCTTGTGTCTTATTGGCTTTATTACTTTTCTTTGAGTGAACTGATTTAAAACACACACACACACACACACACACACACACACACACAAAAGGTAAAAAGTTCCCAAAGTAAGAATTGTGTTCATATGCAAAAGAGATACAGTCAAATGATTGTAACATTCTTCAAGACAAGAAAGAACAAAAATAAAACTGAATTGGTTGATGAAACTGAGAATTAATCCATTTTTATTGGTTAGGAAAGTATCTCGGCATTCAACTGTGTGATTTGTTTATGAATTTGGGGAGGGTACATATTGTTTGAAAGAAGGTTGAATATTGATATGGCCATATTTCTTTAAAAAC